GCTTACTGGAAATAATACACACACATATATATCTAAAAATAAAAACATTCTTGCCAAAACTTGTCTCTGAACAGTGAGCACACAAGGCAGTTAAACACAACTACAAAAATCTCTCTGCAGTAGCGTCACCCCTGAAAGGTTTGGCTCTTTGCTAGCTTTGCAAGCTGTGACTCGTGAAACAGTTCCCCATCCTTGGCTGCTGTAAGTGGGGGATTTCCCCGCATATCAGAGTGGCTATTTTAACAAAATTGCCTGATAATTAGAAGTCACTCAGGAAACTATGAAACAACTAACAGAAACAAAACCCGCAAGACAGAAAAAAAACCCACAACATTTTTATGCTCATAGAAACCAGCTTCCTCCTCTCTGTTTTCTCTGTCTTACTTGAAGCCTGTGGTTAAGGGAACCATCAAAAAAGCCTTATTCAATGTAGCACAATGCAGTGAAGACAAAGTTCTTATGAAAGTATTACTGCCAGATTTGATTACCCAAGAAATAACAGATACCCTAGAGATACTACACCATCAGATTTTTTTGTTGGAAGAAAGGATCTGGTGATGCTGTTCTTCAGAGATTCCTGCCCTATCTTTGAAGTTTCTTTGGGCCACACCTAGCATCTGAGTTTCATACCCTTACCTAAGGTACTGGGTTGGAATTCCAAAGTTCTCAGAAAACTGACAGTGAAAGCTGGAAATGAAACCAGGCCCCTGAGATGTGCCACCTAGTTCTAGGACTTTCCCAGAGAAATTATAAACTTGTTTTAAAACTGCTTTAATTTTGGAAGCAGCATCTCCTAAGCACGTCAGTTGGTTGCTGCCCTGTAATTCATGCTATCACCTGAAGAAGGAAGGATGTAAAAACAACTCTATCCTACTGCCACTTCACCATCTAAGGAAATGACTGCAAAGCAGTGAAATTCCCAACACATTGTGCAGGAATGAAATGCTTCATTTGTAATCTATAGATATTCTAAAATATTTTCACAAGTAGGTCTTTTTGAAAGACTAGGAAAGGTCTAACCCTTCCGTTTGACTTACCAACATGTAAAGTCACAAGTCCACATATTGCAATAACATCTCTGAGGCATCTTAACTACTCATCTACAATAACAGCTTTTCAGAAGACCATATTCACGCACAGGTACTTTTGGCCTAAGAGAAGTTTTTTAACAGAACATCACGACTGCACAGATTCCTTCCAAGCTAGAGGTGGTGCTGGGGGCAGGATGGTTACTTTTCAAGTCTTCTCTACATCTGCCAGACCAGAGTTTCCCGTAGAAACAGTAATGGAAAATAGGCTGCCACATCCTGGTGACAGCAACCTGGGCAGAACAGCATTCCATTGCACCAGATTCAAGCAGCTTAAAGCTGCACTTGAATTCAAGCCTGTTTCAGAGGTGTGAGGCTGACTGAATGAAAGCAAACTCTTGCCTACTTGCTGTCACCGTTTAAGGCTAGGCCAGCAATCAAACCTGATGACAGATATTCTCTATTAAGCCTTTCCTTCCCCAGAACAGGGCTAAGTGGTAATACTATTAATAATGGAAATTAAAAATACACAAAATCAATATTGAGCTTGCCAGTGAGGATCATGGGATCATACGCGTGGTGGTTCGCGCTGCTGACGCAGCAGGGCGGGCAGCAGGATGTCCCAGACTGGACTCAGCAGCAGACAGGAACCACATTCAGGAATATACGGATCAGGATCAGAGGCAGGAGAACGAGTAGAGTCCCACAGGGATGCCGGCTATGAAAGAAAGTGGCCTGACCCCGACGATCCCTTAGCTTTATACTCAGCATGACTTCTATGGGATGGAATATCTTGTTGGTCAGTTTTTGGTCACCTGTCCCATCTGCACTTTCCCACAGATGTGACCCTTTTATGCATTTTCACTTGTGGAATATAAGAGAGCCAGCAGTGACCTTGGTTCCCACAGGAATAAGTATAAACATGGGCCTTTCTGCATACCAATCCTACCATTACTTTAGTAACAACTACAGACATCAAGCGTTACCAATTCTGAAAACAGACGCTGTCTGAAAAAAACATGTCGCCAACTTCAGAAAGTACAATTATTTACAAGAAACTTAACTGAAGGAAAAATCAACTGAAAAGAGAAATGGTCCTGTTTTAGCCAAACTGGGACACTTGCCCACTGGTCAGATACACCACAAGCAGGCCTACGAAGGCTCCCCCCACTCCGCTGCTCTCAGAGCATTTGCTGTTTGCTCAGAAGCACCCTTCAGAAGCAAGGGGAAAAACGTAATCAAGCTTATAAGCAGAAAAGCTAGTTATGACAAGCTGTGGTAACTGTTGATGCTGTACACAAGCACCACTTTGAGTCAGGCTGCTACCAGTATCCTGGAGCTGGGAAGTGCTCTGTCCCACAGGAGTAAGTATAAACATGGGCCTTTCTGCATACCAATCCTACCATTACTTTAGTAACAACTACAGACATCAAGCGTTACCAATTCTGAAAACAGACGCTGTCTGAAAAAAACATGTCGCCAACTTCAGAAAGTACAATTATTTACAAGAAACTTAACTGAAGGAAAAATCAACTGAAAAGAGAAATGGTCCTGTTTTAGCCAAACTGGGACACTTGCCCACTGGTCAGATACACCACAAGCAGGCCTACGAAGGCTCCCCCCACTCCGCTGCTCTCAGAGCATTTGCTGTTTGCTCAGAAGCACCCTTCAGAAGCAAGGGGAAAAACGTAATCAAGCTTATAAGCAGAAAAGCTAGTTATGACAAGCTGTGGTAACTGTTGATGCTGTACACAAGCACCACTTTGAGTCAGGCTGCTACCAGTATCCTGGAGCTGGGAAGTGCTCTGGAGACAACCAGTTACCTCCAAAGCAGAAAAGTGGCTATTGACAGTAGAGGGTGTGGGGTTTTATTTATTTGTTTGTTTTAAAAGTTACTACTTCCAAAGAGAGACTAGAGATTCCCCTTTTAACTGCACTCTCCTGGGTCAGCAATGGCTCCATATTAGGATCATAAGTTATAAAACTCATTATGTGCCATAATCTTTTCATTGAACAGAACTCCAAAGAGGCTTCCCTTCCCCACATACCTGCCCTCCAGCCAGTACACAGACAGGCACAGTAGTGAACGTCTAACCAAGGGCCCTGCCTCAGAATCCCAACCCACTCGCTTGCTGTCCATTCTAAAAGTTCAGACACTGCTGAGATGGTGAATTCAGCCTATAGACCTCTTCTGAGAATCACCCGTGAAATATATAAAGATACAGTGTGATGTGCTTAAGATAGAAACTTAAGATTATTTAAAGGGAAAAAAGTTAGCACGGTTTCGTTGTGGTAGTAGTAAAGAACAAGCATTGCAGAGCCCTGGAAACTGGCTGGATAGTCCAAGTGTTTGTATTCTCAAATATGCCATCAGTTCCATGGGTTTCAAACATGAGGCTGTCTCAACTCTCCTCTTCACCTCACAGCACATGGTATTTCACAGCTTGATGAGGACAACAACTTCGAAACACTGGTGCCTCAAAGGCCACAAATATGTCACCAGCATCTAAATTCTGAGTTTGAGTATTCTGGGAGATCTAATTTGATAGATGAAGTAGATTCTTGATTCTTTTGGAAATCCACACAATCAGGGTTGAATGTGCTTTGTGCAGCTGCATGGGACAAACAGCAAGAGCTGACACAACAGGTGGCTCATACAAAGATGATGACACAGAACTAGAATGTGATTTAACATACTTTCATGGGATACCACAAGCATGTTTTGCAGAATCAGTCCACAGCAAGTGAATCAAAAGCACTTGCTTTAACTTTTCAAATTAAGAGCTTGTTTTGGTCATATACTTATAGGACAGTACTGTTATGAAAACTTAAGCTTTGCACAGACATAAACTAATAGGAGAGCATGCCAACAAGGCAGCATTAGACCCCAAACACATGATTATCTTATGATCTTCACTACTTCAGTTTTCCTATATGGAAAGGGACTTCCTACGATCTTTTACCTGCTACCAATGCATTACAACTCTTGCCTGAATGTTTCCCGTAAACCTTGTTTCACATAAGATGAAGTCTCTTGCTCTCACTCGAACCTTTCAAAATCCTTGTTTTGTACCATGGGAGCCTGTTTCCCCTCTACCATGTAGCTGATGCCAGGTTCAAATACCTATTTATACGTAAAAGCAGCTGCACTTGGTCTATTGGTGTTCTGATAGTGGCTAACAGAGGATGCTTAGGGAGGGAGTATCAGAATCACTGATAGGTGCAATGGTTCGCTTCCACCAGTACCTTCCAACCATCTAGCAACAGACGCTTTAAGTGATCTGGAAGTCCCATGTTTAGTAATTTATGCTTCTCATTACAGAATCTTCATGCCTTCTTGCTCATTACTCCATGCATAGCAAATGACAGGCAATGCCACTAAGATGCAAGTCTCTTCTTCAGGGTTTTCTTTTTGCACAACATCTGATAACCTCTTAAACTAATCAGCAGTTTGTATGGCATATATATTTATATTAAAAACATCATGAGTTATAGCTCATATCTGTAATGCGACACTCTCTCCCCTCTAGAGAGTTACTCTGATTACGTTTCTCAGAGTGGAACAAGATCTTCATGCAAATTTATATAGTAATAATAAAATGTCAACATACTGGGTCCTAGAGGCCCTGTAGTAATAGGAAGATAGAAAGTATAGAAGAGGTCAAGTACTGTCCTGCAATTTTGAAGAATTCTGAAGGTTACTGTGAAATCAAAGTCTGCACAAGGTTGTTGGGAGAGCTTTTGAAGACACTGAAGATGCTGACATGCCTTGGGGTCAGCACAGCTAAGTCAGGGACAACACCTTGGAAACCATCTGGCACAGGAAACATTACTCATTAATCATTAACACAGAACAACAACTCAATCCTCAAAGGTGTTGAGGAAATCAACCAATTGCTTTCTTCGTGATCAGCAGCACAACATGGTGAAAAGGTAGTGCAACAGGTCTACAGGCCCAGCTCTGCGCTGTACCTTTCACCTCAGAAATGTACCTGTTCTCTTGCATCAGGTCTTTGATCTGAGCCAAAATCCAGTCCACTTCTGAAGAGGAATCAGACCACAGTTCTCGAGACTTTGAAACAGACTGCGCAGTCTGCATAACCTGAGTGAAAGGAAAATCCAAGCATTAACAGAAAATAGGCTCCAATGGCAAAACAAAAAGACATTGCTATGAAGAGAAGATGCATATGCCATATGTACTTCATCAACAGCACTTCAAAAAACTCACAAAAGTTCCCCTTGCTAGGGGTATATTCAAAATTAACATAAGCCATGTCATACTTGGAAATTAAAAAGGCAGCAGCACCAAAGAGTCACAGTCCTGGCATCCTCATTCTGGTTCAAAACCAGGAAGAGCACTCCCTGACTTCAGCACAAACCAGGACAGACTCATTTTGAATCATTAACTCCACATGTGGGGTGGAGATGAGGTTGTCTACTCAGGACAAGGTTTTGCCAGTCATATGCATACAGTAGATCAAAATGTCAAATCAACACAGCCATCTAGGCAACCTGTAATCCGCTTAGGGCATCTGATAAGTACGAGCAATACACAAAACAGACTACCAGGTTGTACCAAGAATGGAAGAGAGAATACTGGAGGTTAGTACTCCTCTGAAAGTTAGTGGTTTCTTGGTTTGATACATACCTGAGTCTGTCTGTCCAGCAAGGTAAGACATGCCTTCTACTCATGCTCACAATCTACCCAAGTGGCAATTCTACCATCACCACCTTCTATAAAATATTGCCATGAAGCATGTTACACCACCAACAACTATCTAGCAGATTCTTTTTGGAAGACAATAACTACTGAGAGAAAAGAAGAAATTATTTTTCCTGCCAGGTAGGAATGTAATGTAAAATGAGACTGGAAAACCAAGGTGCCATTTTTCAGGACTGTGATTATCTCTCTTAACCTATATATGCAAAGCTACCACTGCATGCAAAAGATACTTTAGATGACAAATCAAGTATAAAGACATGACCTAAAATGAATAAAGAACCCCTAGCCTACCCATACGAACAATCAGACAACAAAGTACACAGCCCCTATGACAGAGCTAATTTTGGTCTAGTTTACACCTTACAGATTTATCTAAACTTTTAAGTATAATAAGTAGTTAACAAAATAGCTAGAGAAGTATCTGGATCAGACACTGTAGAGTTGCACTGTTATAAAGATGACTTAGGTAAAAGTGATTCTCCTTCCGACATGAAAAAGATTAGAGACAGACTATACACTTATGCAGGGAGACTCAGAGCGGACTCTTCCTGCAGGGAGACTAGCAAAGATACTGTACCACTCTTGCCATGCCAATCCAGGGTAAGCATTTATCAGCCTAAACAAGCTTCAAGTAGTATTTATTTGATATTTGGAACATTCAATTGCTGTCATGGTTAAGAAATTATTTGGATGCACCAAACCATCTACCCTTAAAGGGCACAAGAACAAGCCTATGTCATTTTTTTTGATTCATTCCTAAGTTTCAGAGATTTTTATCAGCTATAATCAGTTTTAAATTACAGGTCTACTGTTCTACAGAACCGAGTTTCAGAGGACAACAAAGGACCAATATGCTCGCATCTCTTCAAATTACTGGCAGTAGTTATTAATGCATAAAAGTAGTATTACGTTTTTTATTAAAAACGAACTTCGGTTAACTTGCAGGTATCAGCCATAAGGTGTAGCACTCCCTTCTGCCGACAGATCTTGGCAGGCCCTTTGCCCACCCTTACTCACTGTACCTCAGAGTAGCAAAAATGATACATTAAAAGAAGCTATATCCACAACATTTGTATCTATAGAGTATTCATTTTTCACAATTCAGCTGTATTTTGTCACAGCTGACAGACTTAGAAGTGCACCACCTGGCACCATTCAACAAGAAAGGCTGCCTTCCAGGGTGAACAGAGAAATTTCAGAAGCACAGTATGCAGCATTCAGTTAAACTGAGGCACATAACATACAGCTTACTCTTCAGCCTGTATTCACATCACTTCAATGGGATAAGGAGAATTTCACATCAGCTTTGAAACAGAAGTTTTGAAATTACTCTTTAGCAATTGACTGACTACTCCTTTCCCCTATTCAACCCTGGTCAGTTTAAATTTTGAAATTGTATTTTCCTATTCAATTTTAAATACTTCCCTCTGTTCTGTTAATATGTTAAGAGGGCACACACCACACATAATCAATTTATCTCCTTTATGATGCCATGCAAAATGTACAAAATAAGCCAGTACCAACTACAGAAAGGGAAGGATGAACAAAGGAGAATCATGTTATATACTCCAAAACCAAGACAATGAAGGAAACTGGATGTACATTTTCAATAAAATTCCTGACCCTAGTTCTCATTGCTGATTAAGTCTACACTTCACTGGAATGTTAGCACACTCTCTCCTTTAGCGTCTAATGATATTCATCAAAATAAAAGCGAGAACAGTTCCCCAGTAACAACACTATGTTGGTGAGGTCATATCCAAAGACATTTTATGGAGTCTGTAACCCAGATCTCAACACATTTTAAGAACTATCCCATCATTAAGAAGAGGAAGCTGAGCAGAGAGAGATTTCTGGGGCAAATTATTCACAAATGTGAACTGCAGCACCTCAGCCACTAGAAAAATATACGATGGATGAGAGAAAACATGAGCTAGTGACTTCTGAACGACAGGTCTCAATTTCCAGAGAGATTAGGATGAACGAAAATAAACTGAGCACTATCCACTTGGACAAGACTTGGGATCTCCACCAAGTACATACCTCATTTATAAACATGAACAAAGTATTGGTATTAGAAACCATCACAGCTCAAATTGCTTGCTCTCTGCAGTGAAGCTTTACTTTGGCAAGCCATGTATGAGAATAGTAGGAGAGATATCTGAGCAAGGAACTAATCAAGCCTCTCTCCACACCTGCAGCAGTCGCAGGTCCCCTATGGGCTAGGCACTACACAGCAGCACTACCTTAGGCAAGAGTACACAACCTGGCAAGGGTTGGTAGCACTGCAGACACTGGCGTACTGTCACCTCTGCAGCACTGATACAAATATCACTTCTGTATCACTGATGCTTCCGGACAGATTCTAACTGTAGGAAGATGCTACGGGCAGAAAAAAGGGATCCCTGCAGTTACATAAAATAAACTCCTGGCATGGCAACTTAGTCGTGCTAGCATTCAGATATATCAAATGAGGCCTGGCCAAGAGCACCAGTTCTTCAGTTTGGGCCAGAACGAAGAGAAGACTTACTGTCCCAGGCAGGAAATGAGAAGAAACAAGAGTGCTGATAATCAGATGGCACTTACCCGAAACTGCTCATTCTTGTAGGATATCAGCACATCTCTGACTTTTTCTAGAAATAAACATAAATATATAGTTTAAACAGGGAATGGATCAACTACATAAGGGAATTCTGTATCTGGACAAGCTGCTTAGTTCTGCTGAATATACACTCAAGGAAGACAACAGTCAAATGAAGTCATAAATTCCAATACAGACAACGCTTTAAAGGCTCCTACAGCTCCCAGGCTTTTCCAGCAATATTAATTTTACCAAGTGGGGTGGAACCAGGAGTTCAGTATTTTATCACTAGCAGTGGCCAAAGACAGGCAAGTTGGATAAATCCAGACAGCTCAAAATAAATCCCTAAAAATATTAGTTTAGGAAGAAATTGTTCCCATAGGCAGTTCATGTTCTGATGTATATTTGTATTCCTTATTTTTTTAAATAAGTAATTTTAAATCTATTACAACTGCACTGTGGCTATTCACAAACCAACCATATCCTTATTGGACTTTATTGAACTTTAATTTACCACCTACATGAAATGTCCTCTCTACATCTGTGGACCACTTTTACTGTACCTGAAATAGGACCATCTTTCAAAATACTTCACCATTCAGATGTCATTGTCACCTGCTATCAGGATGTCGACCACTCAATATCAGCTAGATAAAACTTCAGATGCATTTGAACTGTAGGACTGACATATCATTGCCATTCCACTACTCTGGACATAGAAATCACAGAATCTAGTGCATCATCTTGTGATAGTCTCTCTCAGCAACTGGGGGTCAGATGTTTTGGTTTGGTTTATTTTTTGTTTTGTTTTTTTTTTTTGGTTGGTTGGGTTTTTTTTTGGGGGGGGTAGCCAGGCAGAGGAAGGAATAGCGCATGCTTGGATATCATCCCTCATGAAGTCAGACAGAAGCCCAGACACAGACTCTGACAAGAAAAGTGGTAAGTGCTGCTGCATTCCAAAGTTTAGTACCACCTCTGGCTTTGGATTGTTCTAATAAATTCTGTCTTAAACTCAAAGCGCACATCAAATTAGCTAATATTCTCTGGATCACAGCTACTGTATCTATGTATGAGTCTCTTATACAGGAATCTAGAAAAGACTTGCAACAAATCCATAGATCCTAAAGCCAGAAAGATCATTATAGTCACCTAGTCTCACCTTTCAGGGAGCAATAAGGCTCACTTCAGCGTTTCTGCACACTCTCTGGACCTTGGATTGGGCTGCTGTAGTTTGTTGGGTGAGTTACTCCCCATAAGCATGCCATTTTTTTTGTCAGAAAAAATTATGACTAATTGATTTTACTGTTTGAGGTACTGTTTGATACCTCACACACCTCAAACTTGCAGATCAGTCATCTAATCTGAACTCTCACTTCCTCCAGTAAGTCATTCAAACCAGAAATCCACTTTGAGAAAAGCTCCTTAGTTTGGGTTCAAAGATTCGGGTGATGGAAAAGCAACCACTGGAACAGTTTACCAAAGTTCTCCCACTGTCTTGCACTTTGTGTCTTAAAATCATATCCAGGCTGAGATACCTGTGACTTTTTTTGGTTTTTTTTAATACTGTTGGCAGCTACTGATTTTTCTGTCCACACGTGAAGTATTTTGACACAGGCTGAACTGCTTTTGTCCTGCTCTTGCTCAAGTTATGAATCTACAGAGTTCTGAGGGCTATAAAAGGACATTGGCCTTCTCTGTAACTAATGGCCTCAATACCAAAATGGTGGCTGTCGAGACACTAGAACTAATTTTTACAATGTTTGGTCCTAAACCATGCCAGTATAACTGTTCCTACCAATGAGGATACTGCATATTCAATAGAAGTAAAAGATTTTATGCTACAAATTCAGTGAGCTAATACCAAAAAAGTCAGTCACTCCAAGAAATGACCAAGGCCAAAAGAGGAATCCCAAAACCTGAGCTGAATGTATATCTTTATACATTGTCAGGGCTAGAAGATGACACTTTTAAACTGCTTTCTCTAGCATGAGACATATCTAAAATCCTTGTATCTGCCATTGTTCTAGGGACACCTACCATGGAATTCCTTGTGTTTCTGCAAGGCCTCATGCTGTGGAGTTCGAATCTCCCATGCATCATTGTCCAACTCTGCATTTGCTTCCACGCCTTCCTGCTCCTCTTCCTCATCTTCCTCCTCCTCACTTTCTTCACACAAGTTGTTGCCCAGCTGACGGCTCCAATACGTCTTTCGTAGCCAGTCTAGCACAACATCACAACCTAAGGGAGAACAGAAAACACTCTCTTCTCAGTGGGGTTTACTTTGTTATTGGGAAAAAAAAAATAACACAGGTGGTACATTGCTAACTTGCATTGTGAAAAGAAATGCTGTCAACAAGTTACGAACCCTGAAATCACATACAACTCCATTAATGAAAAGGTGAATGAGTTTTTAAAATAATAAAAACAAAACAAACAAAAAGACGAACAAAAAAACCCCAGAACCCAGTATCACAGGCCTGGTAATACCCACCATCTTTTTGGCAACAAAAAAGATTGGGCACTGCTATAGCGCTGCACCTTGCTCAAGCTAGGCCAAATTTAAGCAGAAACTAAGCCCCAGCAGTGGTGTTCTGAGGAGAAAATGAGTCAATTCTTTAGTATCGCCATGATCAACATAGTGTCTATAACAACATTAATTTTTTGTGCAGAGACTACACTAGGCATACATTAGAGAGAATGGAAAGAAAACCCCTTCTCTCCCATCACTATTTCACTACCCAACTTAGTCTAAGAACTCTGCTGAAGATTATTTAACTCCTCCTCAGTGCTTAAGCCAAAATTCCCAGGAATCTCTTCAAATGCCATGAGCTGGTCATTCATTCAGGCTCGCAGTACCTACTGCGTTTCTTCCTCAATGGGTTTTTTTAAGAGTCTCAGGTACCTCTAAACCATCAGGAAAAGCATTTACCTCTTTCCCCGAGATGAACTTCCCATGCCATGAAGAAGCAAGAGGGCCAAACTACTGTTTCCAGTATTTTTTTCAGGGGAAGGACAAAGTCCCTGTGGTGCACCACATTCTGGAGCCACCAGACACAGTTCAGCTACTACCACAGGGCAGCAGCAAAGCCTACCAGCATCTCACACCACAACCCTCCCTGTTAGGATGCACCCACTGCCTGCCCTGCAGCACCCCAAAATGGAGGGAGGGGTGCTGCCCTCAGGGCCTGCAGCACTGGCACAGCAGCACTCACCCTTGCGGCACAGAGCCAGCCGCGGCAGCTTCCCGTGGGTCAGCTCGTGACGGAGATCCACAACCCAGATGGGGATATCCACCTGGAAGAATGGCCACAGCATTACCCCACAGCTCCTGCTGCATCACATCACAACTGCACGCAGCCCTGCAAGGCTGCAGAGAACCTCCACCTGAGCGGGAACAGCCTCCTCCAGGCCACTCCTCCACCACAGTCCCCCAGCTTCCAACTTCGAGGGTGGGCTGAGATCCCCTTCTCTCTGATCCCCCTCCTCCTGCGGCCTGGGATCTATACAAACTTGAGATTTTATAGTTTAAGTTCTTCAGCATTACTTGCAACAACAGACATCTTTTTAGACAGAGGTGCTATGCATAATTTAATGAGATACTGAGAAACAGTTAAATTATATTTAAACCGATGATATACAATCTGTCATCCAGAATGTTTCAAAGATACAACTCATATCATATATAATACTCAAATCATACACACTCTAAGTTGCACGCAATTTTTTGCAACTTTCCTAAGGACAACTAATTTTAACTATGCAAGACCTCTATTTTTAAGCTTCATCAGTTTTAAAAGGTAAGAAGCAGCACATTTCTTAAAAACCCAGGGGGAAAAAAAAAAAAAGATCAATTCATCATTCTCACATAGGGGTCCCAGACAAGTCTGCATACATAGGAGAGTCTCAAATACTGTCTGTTCTTCACTTTTAAAACTTGTTCAGAGCCAGATATGATGCTCAGTGCAGCTGGCAATAAAAGGACCCAAGTTGGCCCTGCTACTACAATTATACCTTGAACCTCCCCTCCTCCACACAGAAGTGGACAAGATTACCTCAAAGCAAGAGACACAAGATGAAAATGCCTGCAAATGTGATTAAGTGCTTTTTATGTATAGCCTTGCTTGTCAAAGATTAGAATTTATAAACCACAGATTTAGCTCAGTAGCTAAGAAACAAAAACATGTGGTGTATATGTCAAGTGGGACCATTTACATATAAATCAAGACTTTTGATCACAGATGATTCAAAATGCTTTAACGATAATCAGGTTTTGTTAGTCTTAATCTGACTTTAAAGAACAAAGTTTTAGATCTAGTTACATCAAGCCTCTTTAAAACTTTGCAGTTGGAAAGAGCTGGCATCTATATCCATTATTTTGGTCACAAAAGAATGACCCCCCCCCACTCCCTCTACCCAGTGTTGTTAATAGACAATGCATGTGCTCTCTGTATAGACATAAATTATTGAGTAACTCTTATTAAATATTTACCTCTCTGGCTAATTGTCTCAGAGGAATGCTGACCATTTTCTGTTTCCTTTCTGTGATCAAGTTGACAAACCTGCATGCAGGTTACAGAAAAGATAAATGACTATCAAGAGCTGCAGAGAAACTTGGAACCCCAGAGACAAAGCCCTCCCACACTGTATAACACTGTGGTCCCAGAGATGCAAAGTGAAATCAGACAGCTGAATAACGCTATCTGTCCAGGTCTCTCTCCCTCAGCATGCAAGCCTTCAGAGCCGTACCTTACAAGAGCCAGCCCATAAGAGAGGATGAGCTCGTGTGACTTCAATTTGCCAGATGAATCCAGGACCTTGCAACGAATCAGTTCAGCGGTGCAATCCACTGCGAGAGGCATTTTGGGACCATACCTAAAGGTAAAGGCAAAACAGGTGAGCCGTCTCACAATACGCTCCGCTTGGAGAAAAGCGTAGCTTTCCCACTACTTTTTGGGCTATGTGATACATAACAGCCTGAGAAACGGCATACAGAAAAACAGCATCAAAGGCTTTTTCTAGAAGGCTTTTATTTGGAACAGAGTGATTACACGGCTACTCCTAAGCGTATGTTAAACGAGTACTTACCAATACGCTACACACATACAAAATACAAGATGCCATACCTAGACTGCTCTTGTGCATGGATGCAGCAGAGGCAACACAAACAGAGCAAGGTGACTGGGGGGCCTCGGATATGCTCACTGCAGCACTCTGCCTTGAGACCCCAGTCTGTGAAGCTGTGGGCACGCAGGGCTTCTGCCTCCCCCGCTGCCCACGGGGCCAGCCTACTTCTGGTATAAGCTACAAGCTCGAAGCCTACCGTATGAGGAAGGCGCCCTGCAAGACGGAGCTGCCTGCCCGGCAGCACCGGCGCTCTGCACACACAAATCCCGCCAGGAGCAGCACCGGGGACGCGCGGCCGGGTCCCGGGCGCCCTACGGGCCCCAGACAGAAAGCGCCGGGA